AAACAAACGAGTCAAAGAAAAACAGAGTTATTTCATTCAGTAGGAAAGAAAACATTACTCTTGAAATGGCTTTAAAATTATTTCTTTCAATTCTTCCAAATTATCTTTTTTTATTTTATTTTTTTTTAATTTTTTTTTTAACGTTTATTTATTTTTTTGGGACAGAGAGAGACAGAGCATGAACGGGGGAGGGGCAGAGAGAGAGGGAGACACAGAATCAGAAACAGGGTCCAGGCTCTGAGCCATCAGCCCAGAGCCCGACGCGGGGCTCGAACTCACGGACCGCGAGATCGTGACCTGGCTGAAGTCGGACGCTTAACCGACTGCGCCACCCAGGCGCCCCTAAATTATCTTTTTTTTAAAATGTTTTTAATGTTTGTTTATTTTTGAGAGAGAGACAGAGAGACAGAGAGACAGAGTGTAAGTGTGGGAGGGGCGAGAGAGAGGGAGACACAGAATCCAGAGCAGGCTCCAGGCTCTGAGTTATCAGCACAGAGCCTGATGTGGGGCTCAAACTCATGGACCGTGAACATGCCCTGAGCTGAAGTCAGACACTTAACCGACTGAGCCACCCAGGCACCCCCTTCCAAATTATCTTTTTTAAAAAAATCTCTAAGTTGGGGTACTAAGAAAAAATAAAATACTGATTAGTTTTATTTTCTTATGTTTTTTTGATTTAAATCAAAACATAGCTGTACATATTGTAACCTAATTTTTGGTTTATAATCAAGGTTAACACTTATATTAAAATGATCCAGATTTTTTTTTCTTATTTATAGGCAACCACTCAGAAAAAGAAAGCTGACTTAACACAGAGAAGTATAATGAAAAAGATCAATCAGTTGGAGGTCAGAAGAAATGGGTTACGAGCCTGGCTTTGGTAGTTAAGATCTTGTAACAAATGGGCAAGTCATTTAGTGAAGGGCAAGATAACAGTTGACAGAATTAGGGAGAGGAAGAGAAAAGGAACTTAATCAAATTCAAAGTAAAATTGGGAGGTTGCACGTAAAATTTTATAAGCTCTAAAAATCATGCGTGGGAACGTAATAGAGTCATTCAAAATTGGATGTATTTGTGGAAGTGGTGTGTGTGTGTGTGTGTGTGTGTGTGTGTGTGTGTGTGTTCAACCTGTCTGGCATGTTGAACTGGTTATAATTTTTTAAATTTTAAATTAAGATCTTCTATATCTCCTGGGAATGTATGGTGTTTAGATGCTGACAAATGGTGTCTCAGATAAAGAGAAGGAGCAAATGTCAGAGCTGTGATTGTACACAGCTGCCATAAAGAAGTGACTCAATTGGATGACTGGAAACACAGCACACTAATTTTCCTAAACCCAAACTGAAAAGTGGTTAAATACCACTATTAATGCCAACACTCTGTTTTGCCAAACCCTTGAAAAATAAAAATTTTGTCATTATTTGATATTTCTCCCTCAAGAAGTAATATAACCGTATTTAAAAATACCTGAATTCTCTTACTAGAGCTAGTTTTAATTGGCATAAAATGGGAATCAATTCAGTTGTGGCCAACTCCCACTACTAAATCTATACTTTCTTCCCAATATAATAAACATAGTATGCAATTATGAACCTGGGAACAAAGTTCCCTTAGTCAGAAGAAAAGCAAATATGATTGCAAATCTTGAATGAGGTAAACAGCTAAGCACTAATTGCAAAAAAAATAAAAATAAAAAAATAAGTGCCACAGGACCAAACATCAATGGTTGGAAGGTGTCTTTGTGGTTGGGGAAAACTGAACCAAGGAATAATCTTTTATGTCTGGAAACGATGTATGGATAGGACTGCATATGCATGCTGTTGTAGGGTGGAGACCATGTGCTATTTATCATTTTATCCCCAGAACTTACCAGAGGGCCTGGCACAAAATAAGCACTAAATAAATGTTTGTGGAATGAAAGAATTCTGCAATTGTAGCTTACACAGTGTTTTTCTAACTTTAAAAAATATGGTCAACAGTAAGAAACACATTTTACACCAATTCCTTTTACACACAAACACACATATACATAACACAAAAGTTATGAAGTGACACTCTTTTTAATTTAGGGAGTACATTCTGATAGTTTCTGTTCTGTTTTTATTGGACTTTAACAAATATATATTGGTTATGACCCACTGAATTGATTTAATAACCCACCAGTGGATCAAGACCAGTAGTTTAAAAAACAGATTTATACTATTTATATTTACATTGCTTAGCTTCTTACATTTTTAGGCTTCACTAACTATAGGTCACTTTCAAAAATCACAGAACTTTTGGGGCACCTGGGTGGCGCAGTCGGTTAAGCGTCCGACTTCAGCCAGGTCACGATCTCGCGGTCCGTGAGTTCGAGCCCCGCATCGGGCTCTGGGCTGATGGCTCAGAGCCTGGAGCCTGTTTCCGATTCTGTGTCTCCCTCTCTCTCTGCCCCTCCCCCATTCATGCTCTGTCTCTCTCTGTCCCAAAAATAAATAAACGTTGAAAAAAAAATTTTAAAAAAAATCACAGAACTTTTTTTATCTACACAAATGTTTAGAAAGTATTCAGATCAGCTCTAAAATGTTGCACCAGTTCTGAGTTTACTGTGTTGGGATTCTCTTTGGTCAGTGTTGTTAATTATGGGAATTTCACCAACCAAAAGCAGATTGGCCCTACCTTACACCATACCCAATGTTTTAAAATTTTTACTTTAGAAAGAGAGAGTGAAAGCAGGGGAAAGGGGCAGAGGGGGAGAGAGAGAGAGAGAGAGAGAGAGAGAGAAAGAGAGAGAGAGTATCTTAACAGGCTCAATGCTCAGCACAGAGCCAGACATGAGGCTCGATTCCACATCCCTGGGATCGTGACCTGAGCTGAAATCAAGAGTCAGATGCTCAACTGGCTGAGCCACCCAGGCACCCCACACCATATGCAAAATTTAACTCAAAATAAATCACAGACCTAAATGTAAGAGCTAAACCTATAAAGCTCTTAGAAGAAAATTTAAGAGTAAATTTTTATAGCTCTGGATTAAGCATTGATGTGACACCAAAAGATAGATAAATTGGATTTCATCAAAATTAAAAACTCTTCTGCTTCAAATGATGCCAGGAAGAAAGTAAAAAGACAATTTACTGGATAGAAGGAAATATTTGTTAATTATCTGATAAAGAACAGTCAATAAATCTTATAAATAACAATAAGTAACCCAATTTAAAAATGAGCAAAGGATTTTAATAGACTTTTCTTCAAGGAGGATACACATATGACCAATAAGCACATGATAAGATGCTTGTGTGACGAGTCATTAAGGAAATGCAAGTCAAAACCACAGTGAGATACCACTTCACACACATCAGGTTGGCTAAAATAGAAAAGAAAATAACAAATGTTGACAAGGATGTGGAGAAATTGGAACCTCCATACATGGTTGACAGGAATGTAAAATGGAAACAGGCTGGCAGTACCTTAAAAAGTTAAACATAGAGATACCATATGATCCAGCAATTCTGATCCTAGATACATACCCAAGAGAAATGAAAAAAATATGTCCATACAAAACCTTGATGTGAATGTTCATAGCAGCATTATTCCTAATGGTCAAAAAGTGGAAACAACCCAAATATTCATTAACCAAGGATGAATAAACAAAATGTGATACATCCAGACAATGGAATATTATTTGACCATAAAAAGAATGAAATATCAATACGTTACAACACTAGTGAGCCTCAAAACATTATGCTAAGTTGAAAGAAGCCTGTCACAACAGATCTTATTGTTTGATTTCATTTATACAATATATCCAAAATAGGTAAATCTGTAGAGACAGAATTGGATTGGTGGTTGTCTATGGTTACCGGGACTGAGTACTAATGGGGAGGAGGTTTCTTTTGGGGATGATGAAAATGTTTTAAAATTAGGTTATGGTGATGGTGGTATAACTGTCAATAAAGTGAAAAATACTGAATTTATATATTTGAAATGCATGATATTCATGTAAATTCTATCTCAATAAAGCTGTTAAAAAAATGATTGGAACTCTGGAAAGATCAAGAAATAGGATGCATGCAGCACTTCTATGCCTGAGTTCAGAATGCTGAGCCGCGACTTACCTAGATTTCAGGCAAAGAAATGGGGTTTTCAAGGGTCAATAAATGTTCTTTGACATCCTATAGAGCTGTGGCACTTCTTGTTGGAGGGCACAAATAGAAGGGCATGGATCCATTGACTTAAGCTCTGAACCTTCTCGGAAGTGATACCCTCACGAAATTTTACTGCAAACTACAAAAAGGAACTTTCCGCACTGAAGGGAGAAGAACTAGGCATCTCCACCAAGTTAAGACGTTAAAGGACCAGAGAGCATTCTGGACAAGGACTTTCTTCATCTTTGCCTCAAGGGGACCAGGCCTAGAACAGGACGCTCAGTAAATGACATGGGAAGAAGGGACAGAAGGAAAGGCCTCAAGTGCACAAGACCAGAAGCTTTCTTACTGGGCATCTATTAACCCCTCTGGAGGGGTGGTCGTGGAGACAGCTGCAGAAGAAGCCGCCCACAGGCTACCTAGTACATTTACAAGGCAGAGTGCCGTAAACTGCTTCTCAAACTTAAGTCCCACGCCCCACGTCCTGCCCCACCCCCACCATGTGTCCCAGGCCCTCAGTGGAGGAAACACCACTGAAGAATTCAAGAAATTATGTTAATGAGTTTAAGAAATGCTTTTAATGATTAAAACCAAAACTCTGTCACTTTAAAGGACTAATGGACACCGGCGTGAAGTACAAATGCAAAAGGGGGGCACTGAAAGCGTGCAGGACCACTGGGCCGTCAGCTAAACGGCCCAACGGTGATCCTTAATATGACTTAACTTCTTTTTTAAGAATGTCATTAAAAATAACAACTTGTAAGAAAGAAGCCTCGCAGACCACAGTGCGAAGGGTGAGACACACCGGCCTGGAGATGGAAGGCGGGCTCCGGAACCCGCACTTCGTGCTCTTCCCAGACGTGGCCCTACGGGTCCCTATCTGAGCTGTGTTCGAACGCCCGCTCTGTAAAATGGGACCATTTCTGAGCCGCCTCCCAGCGGTGGTTGTGAGGAACGAACGAGGCCGAGCCCCATCTCCAGGCCGGTGTGTCTCACCCTTCGCACTGTGGTCTGC